TTTCTCCGTCTTGGCATGGGGATGGGTTCTTGCACCACGGCAGCGAGGGGGAGGGACTACCAAATACACAGTGAGAATACGTACGAACCAACGAGGCGAATCACGCGGGTAGGGATACACCGATGGACCGATGGATGGCTTGTCGTGCTTGTCTTGTAAGTGCGCTGTTAGCCATGCGTCCCTCCCGTCCTTCCGCCGCCGTTCCGGAGTCGATTCCGCGCAGGGATTAAGATGTCGTAGAAGGACCCCCAAACTCGCCTCTCTCAGGTGTCAAATGGTATACAGGGCAATACGGCGTAGGGTTATCACAGTACGGATGCACGCTACTCGAGATACGAACGGGCACATAAGGAGGCACGGCTACAATGATAGAGTGATTCTTAAGGGTGTTTCTTGGCAACGAGGCAAGAGTTGCGTTCTGGACACCCTCTGTTCCGCTTTGCCCGTCTTCCACATCTGGTCCGCACGTTTTTCGGTTTCTCCGTCTGGTGCTCCTTGCTCTTTTGGTTAATTTGTCCGTGCATGGCCCGTCCTGCCCTGCATTTGTTTTGTTATTGAGCTTGATTAATGTTCGCCTTGGCTTCCCTTCTACCCTCCTTCGAGATTCCGTGCCCAACCCTCTACTCTGTCTTACCATTCCCTTTAATTTTTGTCGCATCTAATTTTGGGCATCGAAGCTGTTACGTTGACAAGCTGGTCGGCTCCGTGTCTAGCTGTTCTCCTGCAGCTGCATCCCGGCTCTGTGTGCCTACAACGATACCTGTCCATTGCGCTCGCCCACGCGCTCGCCCACCATGACGATCGGCGCCGCCTTTGTGCGTCACGTCGTGCGCAACGATGCCGCGAAGCTTGACCCTCCCGAGATCTACAACTGGCGCGTCTTCGCCCTGGCCTCGGCCGCCTGCTTTGGCGGCACCGTCTTCGGCATGGACACGGGCATTATCGGCGGCGTCCTGACCATGCCCGACTTCAAGCGCGAGTTCGGCCTTGTCGAGCTTGCCCAAAAGGACCCGACCGCCGCCGCCAACCTGTCCGCCAACCTTGTCACCGTCATGCAGGCCGGTGCCTTTTTGGGCGCTCTGCTGGCCAACCCCGTCGGCGACCGCTTCGGCCGCAAGCCGGGCCTGCTCTGCGTCGCCGTCTTTGCCTTTATTGGCGGTCTGCTGCAGGCTTTTTCGTACGGCAGCCTTGCCTGCTTCTACGTCGGTCGCTTCGCCGAAGGGTTCGGCCTCGGCGGGGCAACGATGCTGGCGCCCACCTACGTGTCGGAGAACGCCCCGCGCGCCATCCGCGGCCTGCTCATTGGCTTCTACCAGCTGTTCGAGACCATGGGCGCCATGATTGCCTTTTTCATCGACTACGGCTCGCTACTGCACATCCCCGGCCGCGGGTCCTGGATGGTCCCGCTCGCCATGCAGTCGCTGCCGCCCGTCCTCATCTTTTGCAGCATCCTGCTGTGTCCCGAAAGCCCCCGCTGGCTCGCCAGCCAAGACAATTGGGAAAAGGCCACCAACGTCCTGTCGGACGTGCGCCACCTGCCCCCGTCCCACCCCTACGTCCAGCAGGAGCTGCTGGAGCTGCGCGCCCAGCTCGACGAGGAGCGCCGCTCGGTCCACGGCACGGGCTACTGGGCCGTCATGAAGGAGTGCTGGCTCGTCCCCGGCAACCGCAAGCGCGCCCTCATGTCCATCGGCCTCATGGTCTGCCAGCAGTGGACGGGCACGAACGCCATCAACTACTACGCGCCCGTCATCTTCACCAACCTGGGCGTCAGCGGCACGACGCAGTCGCTGCTGGCCACCGGCGTCTACGGCATCGTCAAGATGGTGAGCTGCGCCATCTTCATCACCTTCTTGGCCGACACCCTCGGCCGCCGCTGGTCCTTTGTCTGGACCGGCTTCTTCATGTCCTTTTGCATGTTCTACCTCGGCTTCTACGTCCGCTTTGACCCCCCCGTCAAGAACGCCCCCATCCCCGCCGCCGGCTACGTCGCCCTCGTCATGGTCTATCTGTTTGCCGCCGCCTTCCAGTTCGGCTGGGGCCCCGTGTGCTGGATCTACGTCTCGGAAATCCCCACCAACCGCCTGCGCGGCTACAACGTGTCGCTGGCTGCCGCCACCCAGTGGCTCTTCAACCTCGTCGTGTCGCGCGTCTCGCCCATCATGCTCATCAGCGCCGGCGGCTCCACCGGCTACGGCACCTACTTTATCTACGCCTGCTTCTGCTTCACCATGGCCGTCTTGGCCTTTTGGGTGCCCGAAACCAAGGGCATTTCGCTCGAGCGCATGGACGAGCTGTTTGGCACCGCCGACTTCTCCAACATTGAGGACCTGGGCCGGGCCGCGCAGAAGGTCGACGTGGAGGCCAGCCACTTTGAGACTGCGCCAGAAAAGTAAGTCCTAAGTGTGTTGGCCAACAACGAGGGGAGGGACCATGGGTGGAGACGAGAGCCTTGCATCGTGCTATGGTGAGGCGAAAAGTGGATGTCGAATAGTCATCAAGCGGAGGAGCTCCATGCCGACTATAAATGCTTATTCGGGGTGTCAGTGACATAAGCTGGTCGATGACACGGGGAAAGAGACAGCGTTATAGGGTCAGCACAAGGAAATGACAAGCTATATTTATAAACTACTCGTGTAATATTTACTATTTGGATGTTGTAAACAGTGCGATGTAGCGACACTATTGACACTATGCCACGTGTTTTATGCTTATAATACGTACAACAAGCAAAAGCTAAGACTAGAAATGGACGATGGGATATATATAATGTGTCGTGAGTATCGCACGCCGAAAAGTAAACTTGACATTCCAGAAGGACGACTTTGCATTTACGGTACACCATGCGCCGGCAACATCGCCGCCGCTGGATATGTGAGACACGCAGAGGCACAGCACAACACGACCTTCTATGCCAGCCAGAACCAGAAGCGCTCGAGCCAATTGCGCGGCTTGACGTCGGGCCAGTGCGCATCCTCGGCGTCCAGCTCGGCCTTGCCCGTGTGCAGATCGGCCTCTTCCGGTTTGACCCAGCGCGTGCGCTTGATAATCTTCCAGATAAGGTACAGGCCAAAGAAGATGGGAATGCCAATGTACGCCGCGAGGAAATCTGTGGTCGAGTGGTTAGCTATGACTATACACGCACTGGGATAGGTATGGGGAGAGGTGGTGGTGGGAATACATACTGCTGACGTCCCAGTGGCCGTGGACAAAGACGTCAAAGCCGTTGAAGAGGACGATAATGACAAAGAAACCCAGTGAGGCATAGGCCAGGAACGGCTGGAAAGGGCTCTTCATCACCAGCGTGTTGCGGTCGATGCCCTGCGCCTTGAGCGCCTTGTGGAAGCGGATGTAGCACACGCAGATGGAGCCCCACGTGAACAGACTGGCAATTGTCGTCAAGTTCTGGAACCAATTGAAGGCCGTCGCCGCACCGCCCGAGCCCGCTGACAGGTACGTGAGCAGGCCGACCGCGGCCGTGGCTGCCACCGCGTAGTAGGGCACGCCACGCCTGGAGCAGGTCAGGAAGATGGCGGGCGCCTGGCGGTTCTGGGCCAGGGCGTACAGGTAGCGCGAGCCCGTGTACAAAAAGGCGTTGGCCGACGACGAGGCCGAGGTCAGGATGACTGCGTTGATGATGGACGGAAGAACCTTGATGCCGACGTTCTGGATGCCAATCACCCACGGCGAAGCAGCAGCACCGGGCGCACCGTCTGCCTGGGCGGTCAGCAGGCGCGGATCGTCCGCGGCCACGAGCCATCCAATGGCGAGAGAGCCCAGCACGTAGAAGAAGATGATACGCCAAAACACGCGGCGGACGGCCTTTGGGATGTTCTTGCGCGGGTTCTCGGCCTCGCCGGCGGCAACAGCCACCAGCTCCACACCACCGAAGGAGAAGGCGGCGTTGACGAGCGTCGAGAACAGACCCAGGAAGCGGCCCGTGTTGCCGGTGCCATCATACTCGAGCATGGCGCCCGGGTGCTGCCAGTAGTAGAAGCCAAGGCGCTGGTGTTTGGGGTTGCCGCCCAGCATGACGATGAAGGCCATGATGAGCAGGCCGACAATCGTGATAATCTTGACGGACGCGAACACGAACTCGGCCTCGCCGTAGACAGAGACGGCGATAATGTTGAGCAGGATGACGAGGACGAGCAGCAGCGTGATCCAGGCCGACACGTTGATGTGGTCGGCGCCGGGCCAGTAGCCAATGACGACAGAAGCGGCCGAGATCTCGGCGCAAATCGTAATGGCAGACGAGTACCAGTTGTTCCAGCCGACAGCAAAGCCAAGAGCGTCGTCGACGTAGCGAGCACAGAACTGGGGAATGGCACCGGGTAGAGGCAGCCAGGTGGCCATCTCACCGAGGCACTGCATCATGGCGAAGATGGCAATACCGGTGATCGAGTAACCGAGAAGGACAGACAGGGGACCTGCTCGCGTAAAGGCTGAGCCAATACCGAGGAAGAGACCGGTGCCAATTGTGCCGCCAAGTGCGATGAACTGAATGTGTCGTGACTTGAGGCTAATCGTGTGATCGTAAGATGATGTGAGTATAGTAAACAACAGTGAGCCATATCCCAGAATGGGGTCTATAAGCAACATACCCGCGAGACACATAGCCGTATTCCTCGACACGCTCGATGCCGCCCAAGGCGGTGCTGCCCTCGGCAATTTTGTCCCGCCTCTTTTCTTCATTGCTGCCGTCGTAGGCCGGCAGGCTTTGGGCCTGGACCTCCAAGTCTTCTTTGGACATGGCGGGCAGGACGTCGGAGATTGTTGCTTTCCTGGGTAGGGGGACACCAAATAACCAAACACTGGTGAGTCTTCTGTAATGAATAAAAGAGGAAAGAAAAAAAAGTGATGAGGTGGACGAATGCTGTGAATCAACAAAAAAGCTATCAGAACACCAGTGGTATGGGCACCGGAAAGGTTAAATAGATTAGCTAGGGTGGGAAGTGTAGGACATGAAGAAGAGGCAGGAGCCAGTGACGCAGTAGAAGATGAGTGACAAGGATGGGGGCCAAACAAGGCACGCAAGTCCAAAGAACAGGCAAAGGAGGGTGTGTGCAGTGGCCGAGGAGAAGGGTGTGCTTGCAGGGTGCAGTGTGCAGGGTGTGTTTTTGTGGTGGTACAAGGGGCCCGCCACAACCCAAAAGGACGATACGGAGAGGGGCCTCCTAGTTGAAAAGAAGAAGGTCAAAATCGAAGAGGAATACGTTGAGAGTGCCTTGCGGAGATTTTTTGCGTGCTTGGTGTGCACGAAGCTGTGTGTAGCCTGGTTTGGGCTCACGCTCTTTTCCTAATTGTTGTTTTTGAAGCCTCCTTTTTCTTTTCTTAGTTGTTCAATCCTTTCTCTTTCCCTTCCTGTGCCCTAGGCACTCAAGTCACACCAACTGCGGCTAGAGTGAGATGATGAAATTGTGATTGTGTTCCCATTTGGGACGTGGCTGATTTGATTGTCTTTGTATATTCTTCGGCACTGCCCGCCGCAAAGCTTGTTCCTTGGCGATTTTCCCTTGTCGCTTGTCGGTGTGTCTCGGAGAACGGAGACAGGACCGGCAGCTTAGGGTAGCCTGGTTTCCTTTGTGTGTAAATAGGTGTAAATAGGGGAGCGGTGGAAAATGTAAACACGCGAGCCGTCTCGAGGAGGAGGGGTAAAGAAGCCTTTTTGGCTGTTTCTCGTCGTTCGTACCTAAGCTTTTGCCATCGCTTTCCCAGAATGGCTGCCCGTCATGGCATGGCTACCACTGTGCCCGTATGCTCTTCGTTGTCTGCTCTTTTGGGGCCCTGGTGCAGCCACACCCCATCCTACCTGCTCGTGTAGACTCCCCTCGCGTGAAATGCTTGGTCCGGGATCGAGCTGTGTCTCTAGGCCGGGCTAGTATGTGAGCAACTATTCCCAAGCCACTTCTTTCGTCCTTCCGTCTTCCGATTCATTTTGATATTTTTCTTGTGAGAAAGCTTCCCCCGACAATCTTGGCCAGGATCAAAGTTACCTAAAGACCAACATCCCCTGAAGCTCAACCAGCCCTGCCCGCATTGCGGGCGTCTCCAATTTGGACTGTGGCCATCCGGTTAGTTGAGTGCTGTCTGCCGGCGCCTCGTTGTCAAGTTGCAAGGGAGGCAGAGACAGTTGATACAACCACAGGCCACCAATTGTCTCACTTGACCAACGCCCAGAGAGAAGACGCCGCGGGATAAGAAGGCACAGCATGCACAAACGAGGCTAAGTAGGCGTGTCAAAGCCGCACGGCATGGATACAGGTGGCATCCCACGACGAGCACGAGCATGGGGACAGAACACGAGCATGCTGTGCTGCATGTTTGCTGTACAGCTCGATAGCCACTGGGATGTGGTACCACACCAGCGGGCACACACTGGATACTGAACCAAAAGCGCATGTCCTGTCGTACGTAGCACGCGATTGGCAGTTTTCCGCATATGTTTATTTGACCAAGATGTATGAAAACCCCGCTTCGGTGCCTCCGAGAGGCTGCTTTGTACTGAAAGGGCGGTGCTAGATATCGAAAGAGAGGAGGCCGAGGCTGACAGAGACAAGGCAAAGTGCAGGGCTGCAAAGAACGGCCGATTGTTGGCTTGGGTTGGAGTCTGTGCGTTGAGGTGAGAGGCAAAAGGAGAAAAATGAAAAAGTACAGATCAGACCAACCAATAACAAAGGAGACAGAGACACATAGGCAAGAGCGGGACGGTGGCGGTGGTCAGTTCCTTCCTCGCCAGCTTGCATCTTCAGCAGTCGAGTGAACAAAGGGAAGGAGCACTCAGCTGGGGCATGGGGAGCCTGTCCAATGTGTCCGCTAGACCATATTCCAAGGCTCCCGACGCCACTCTGGGAGGCTGTCTCGCCTCGTCGTCGTGCACTGTTCTCAGTGCTTGACAAGAAACGCCTATCTGTCGGCCAGGGAGTGTATCGGGGAATATATCGTATCAGTGGGCCAGGCCCTCTCATCATCTGCAATATTCTGATATGTATGCCGTACTTCGAACTGCGTGCCAGATTGGGCCCAGAAAATAATACGCACACGGAGTACATGCCAGCAGCATGTAAATTTGTTCACAAAGAAACACGGGAATGACCCGTTGTCTCTTTATCGCTATCGCGTCGTCGCTTTGCGTGATTGTGTGCGTCGCATATGCCAATTGGGGTTTCTATGAGCCAGAGGTCGTTGTTTACGTCTGATAAGCTCCCCTGGTGTGCACAGTGCGACCTGGTGCTCAAGAACTGTACCTGTGTACCAAACACACCGCAGGTGGAGGCCTTTCATCACTTACGCAGAGGAAGAACGAGTTACAGCAGTTGTGAGCTTCAAATATAAAGTTTAAAAGGCCAGGATGGATATTTCTAGCACGTTTTATTCAAGCTCGTCCTTTGCCCCGTTCTTAACAACGTATTTTACAACACAATTGATTCAGTGTGCACTGGAAGTTATGGTCAAACCAAGTCTTTGCACACTGTACGGTCAATAGTTTCGCACTGTCTACCTTCTCCACTACTCCGTCTTGGCATACTCTATCTTGGCCCTCTGCCGTTATCTCCTACGGGGAGGATACGAGGATTGGCAGGGGACGACTTAGCGGCCAAGAGTGGGTCGCCGCCTACCTCTGGGCCCTAATCGTAGGCACGAAATCTAGCACTACTGTGTGGAAGACGCAGAAAGCTTGTTCTGGAGTGAAGCTAGAAGGATGCGCACATATTAAGTAGTTCCCCACAAGCCCAAAACGTCTCAGGAGCCGCCCATCTCGCCCTGAAATGAATACCACCTACATCACGACCACGAGCCTTGCTACGAATACGTACCATCATGATGTACGTCCTGCTGACGACTGGTGGTACAAGACAATGGGATGCAAAAAAATCCAAGTTTGTTAGCTCCGCGGATGAAGGAGACGATCAATTTACTGTTCGAAGTGGAAGAAAGGACGCAACGACCACATCAGCAGACCCTGTCATGTAAACAACAGTAGTGTTGCAGGTATTGGTTTGCAGATGGGGAAACACTTTCATTCAATCAGAGTGCCCGTCTTTCGGGCGAGAGGTCCAAACTGAGGCTGGCTGAAAAAGGGGGCATTTGAACGCTGGGAGACCTGGGACCACCCTCTGCCAGACAGACGTTGGGGCCAGTCTCAACAAGGAAGGTCGTCAAGGTTGTCGCTCATAGGCTCACCAGGCGGCCGGGCAGATGCCGTGATGCGATGGTGCAAGACTAGGCCCAGACAGCAGACTACCGGCGTGGAACAAGAGAACGACGTGGGGAAATGAAATGGTTTGGAGAGAACAGAGGAATATTTTGGTCCCAACTCCATAATTCTGCCTGCTTTGAATTCCAAACCCGACGTGCCATAGTATTTTGCAATTCAATCGATCTCTTTCACATGCCGTATTCAACTTACTTCGTCTTGTGACTTGGTCCTTTTTTCTCTCTCGCGGGGACACCAGTCCTTACTTCTCCCACATATTTTGAGCCTGCTCTCAAGGTATCCACACGCACTAGCTGTGCCGAGCATAATGGAGTGCTAGGCAGTTAAAGGAAGTGAGCCGAGACGAGGGAGGATACATCATGACTTTGTCAAGCAGTCGTAGTTGTAGTTGATCCTAGCTCGCAGGGGGTGGCTCCGTGTCCGTGGAAAGAACCCAGAGTGGAGACGGAATACATATATTTGACTGCGGATGGGGGACATTTATGGGCTCTTTTGACCACAGACGCAGGCCACAGGCTGGTCTGATAGCTTGAAGAAAGAGTTGTGCACCTTATCTCTTGGCGGCTGGAGTTACCCCAAAGAGAAAGCTGCTATCTGCCCACATCAGCTCCTCCCCTTTTCTATTTTATTTGGTTTATTCTGTACTCACGAGTTTTTTGTATCTTGCACCATTGACTGTCTTCTAGTCTCTCATTTGGCCGTCAATTCGATATTTCCTGATAGACTTGTGCAGAGAGAAGTCTATTGCGGGACTCACAAGATACTTACGTAGGGATCCTTTGCTTGCGTCATTAACCCATCACTCCTTACTTGATGTTCTTGTCTTTGCAGTCTCCGGTCCCACAAATATCCAAAATTGCAAGTCGTTTCCGTGAGCAGTAAGAAGAGCAATGGGATTGAGGGGAGGCACGCAAACAAATGACACGCTCGATAAACCCCAAAAGGTGAACATGCTGAAGAGGCCAACATGGCATGCGGCAAGTCCAACACTAAAGAGCACATGATACAGGTCGTGCTCGGGCCCAGAACTTTCTTCTTACAGTAGTGACGTGTCAGCCTATTCGTTTCTTGCCCGCTTTTGGTCGAGGAATTGACCACTCTCAAATTCATATCACACGACACAAATTCGTTTGTTGTTCTTTGTGGCGCAAGAGGCCACACTCGGTACGTACACAACGCCCAGTTTGTAAGTCCTGCAGCGAGTAGAGGCAGTGCAGGGCAAATATGCAAAACGCAAAGCACGGTCTTAATGAGAAGCCCTTTTTACTCCCTTCTGCCTTTTACTCGTATTCCACCATTCCTCGATGAGTTTTAATCGTAAGATACAAGATACTTCCAAGCTTCTGTAAATGGATACCGAGCATGTGTTGTCTTCCTTGTCGGCATCAGTACATGCTCTCCGTTTCAGCGGTTCTAGGAGTGCGCCCGGAACCATCTCAGTTCTCACGCCGCTCATCGATCTCTGCCCATCCTTGTGGGGTGCACACAAAACTATCTACACCCCTCATCTCTAGATGGAAGTAGTCGTGACCTACGAGGTCTTGTCGGGCTTCCATTTTATTTCTAGAATCTGTAACCCGTCTTTTCCTTATTCTTTCCCGAATTACTTTGAATTCCTCCCGTCGGGAATCCCCCAGTTTCCTTAACTTCCTTCCTTTTCTGCCGCTCGCTCCCCGCACGGTAATTATCTCATACACGACACATATTTGTTGCATTGCTAAACTTGCTCTGTGTGCCTCACTGAGCCCCTTTGGTGTGTGTGCCATCCGCCCTTCGCCCCTCTTTTAGCCTTGTTCTTTCCAGTCTTCTAGAACGACATCCAACAAAACGAAAGGACGAAAAACATTTGTCTCGTCGCCTGTAGATAAGACTCCTACGAAGTAAAGCAGGAGTTGTTTTTGTTAGTGTCCTTGATAACGATAATCCACCCTTCCTTCTTCGGCGTCCCCGTGATCTCAGTCGACCGTTTTCGTTGTTTTACCTGGTGTACTATGAGGCTCGGGCGCTTATCTCTCTGTCTCTCAGCATTAATCTCGCTCAAAAAACACACCAATCACGAGCATTCCAAATCAAGGACCTGCTTGAACTAAAGAAGTGAGAGAAACAAGGCTCCCCGAAAGCTGATCAGAAAAAGGTTATGGTCTTGGAAGTTCTACCATACGAAGCTCGACAGACGTCTCTCTTTATGCCGCCTGCAACTTAATACGGGACACCCACTACGCTTTTGAGCACAGTCCTGTGTAAAGGACGTAATTTAATCGACTGGTGGCTAAATCAATCAACCTATATGACAGCAACAGGTTGATGAATCGAGCCTTCTGCGTATCAAATTATAGTCGCCTTCTCCTTTCCTCTTTTCTGTCGTTTCTAGAGCTGCTCCATCAGTGAGAAACCGGAGGTTCGGAGCAGCCGAGGCCGTCTCCTGCATACGACGTATTTGGGGTGATGGAAGGATGGCTGTCATCGAACCGCGGATGCATCATACACTGCCATAGCTTTGCTGTCGCTCTTTTGTTGTCTACAGCGTATTCCCGTCAACATAACTTCGTAACCTTTCAGGCTGCTTCTCTTTTCTCGTGATAAGCTTCTAGTGCGCCCGAAACACCAAAGAGTCCACAAAGCCTCTCACGCTTCAAATTACAGGTAGCGTGCATAATCTATGTGCGACTGGGGCGGGAAAAGGTCACCTTAGTGACATGGGGATTCAAGCAGGTTAACCTGTCGTCACACTCCGGATGGAGCAATACGGGGACATTCTTAGTTGGGAGTTTCTTGATACACCAGGTCTGTATCCAGCTCAATGAGATGTCCAATCTTACCCACACACACCTCGCCGTACTGGTACGGGGTCCTCTTCCAAACAGATACATTTTTCCTTATCATATCTATTGGCAGGTAGGTGACATCATGGGGCGCTTATCGTGGCTTTCCATATTGTTGCAGCTTCGCTTTTGTTTCCCCAATGGCGTCGAAAACAAACCGCAATGAGCTCCATTTGTTTCTAATGCAGCGTATTCACAACGATGCTGACCGGGCAAAGGTGCAGAATCGCCCAAAAGACAGCAAACGAGTTGCAACCAGTTGGAACGAGCATAGATATAACCAGCCTCCTCCTACTTATCGTATAAATGCAGCAGTGGCCCTTCAAGTAGGCATCGCAATCATAACCAGCTGTATGAAGAACTGTACAATGCGAGTCCCCACCACCATCAAAGGATATGAGAGATGCGATTGAAGTATGCAGGATGCCCGGAGTAACTCAACAGGCAATGGGAAGACAGAAGACGGCACAGTAAGACATGTTGTACTTTGCTTAGCAAAAGGGTGCTCACAGCACTCCCCCAATTCGACGGGGACTGAATGCGTGGGTGCTCAACTCGTAGTTTGGCCCGAGGGCGACAGATAACGGCGGTCTTCTGACACAATGGAACGTATTCTGATAAGGTTGCACTCCAAGGTACCCTGGACCAACAGAAAGTATCGCCAGATGTTGATGCAGTTGCTCGTAAGGGATCCTAGGCCGCTCTGGTCCGTCACGCTGGATGTAAATAAAGCTTGATGAATGCGTTCCCCCGTTCCTGCATAGAGCCATGATGTGCCACCGATATCACAATGTGGTGCTGCCCAAGGGACGGGAAGCCATGATGGCCACCATAGGCAAGGGGTGTTAGGCTCCTGAACGTCGTCATTTACTTGGAATCCAAAATATATACTTAAACAGCGGTTGGTCAGCGCACATACCGCCGCCAGCCTCGGTGCTTGTGCTGTGTCTGTTGCACGTGAAGCTTTGGTGGATGGATATCATCCGCTGCTGCGGGCACGACAGCTTCGACGACCACTCCTACTTTTCCCGCCGAGCCTGACTTCGAAGCCGACCCTGATACAGACCCCCATCGCGAACCCCCAGTCCAGACAGATGGTCGTTTGCGTATCAATTCTGTTTCCGATGCGTCAATAGTGTCGCACGTCGGACAGTGCGTGTGCGTGTTGGGCGTCGAAGGGTACACATCACGCCCATATGTAGCGTTGAGAGACACGTTGCCGACGACATCGCCCGTTTCCAGGCGAATCCAAGTATCCACAGCTGGCCGGTGGTTGGTTCGTGACGATGCGGCCAAACCCGCCTGCCTCAAGCTCTCCTCCGTGACACGGACCTGCCGTCCTCCGCGCGTCCAGGTGCCGTATCCGCCGTAGCCCGTGTGCTGCCCAAAGCAAATATGAACGCCAGTGCCCGGGATGTCGACACCAGGCAGCGTATCACCCGCAGCCCAGGTATGACACCAGGTGTCACCATGGTCATGGCCGACAAACAGTGCCACGATGCCTGTGCCGTTGCCGGCGGCCGCAATGGCACGCATAAATGACTCGTCCTGCCCGCCATAAGCACAGCCAGACTGGGCTCCATCTGGGCACCAGCCCTCAGCCTGCTGTGCTAGTGGCTTGTCGTCATTGATGCCCGGTTGTCGGTGTGGATCAACGCTGTCGCCACTACCGTTCTGGCCCTTGCTGCCCGGGGCGGTGTTCATCTGTAGGGCATACGCGACATTGGGTGGGATGTGGACGAAGGCGAGAGCAGGAATCACGGCCCTGTACTTGGTTTCTAGCTCTGCCTGCGTCTGTTCGAACCAAGCGACAACACTGTTGTCCACCCAGTTCTCCTGTCCAACGCGCTGGCCCGTCGTCCTGTCCTTTTGCTGGTAGAGGAACCCTCCACGGCTGTCAAAGAACCATAGGACCAGCCGAGGCACACAATGGTTGGCCATGTCCTCGCCGTTGCCGGGCGCACAATCAGATCCGTACACGGGGAGGTAGTAGTTGGTCACACCTGCGCGGCGCACATCCCCTGGCCCGGGGTTTGACAGCATGTTGGCTGTACGAGCGAGTCCCCTCGGCTGCAGCTGCTGTTCCCGTGCGAGCAAGTCGGCCCGCGACAGATTGAAGTCGCTGTCGTGGTTGCCATATGTAGAGGCCCACGGCACGGCGCGGTGGACCATGGGCGCAACGATCTGGTCGACGTAGACGGTGCTGTTTTCACGGAACGCATTCTCGCCCGTGATGAGGTCGCCGTTCAGCACGACAAGGTCGGGCCGCTCGGCGTCGAGCACGGCTTCCATGACCCGGACCGTATTGAGGTCCTGCTGCGGGCCCCAATGTGTCCAGGCGTCTATTTTGGGTCAGCAGGCCATCCGTATCGTTTCGATGTTTGGGAAGCGCACGACTTACTCTCTCCAAAGTGGAGGTCTTCAAAGATGGCGATCTGGAACGACCCATCGCTGCAAAACTGGAGCGGTGCAGCCGGGTCACGAGGCGCCCTCACGTCTCTCTTGATGACTTGGCGCAAAGGTGGTACTGTGTTTGTCGATAAAAACACCACCAACGTGGTTATGATGCTAACAACACCGAGCGCCAGCGCCGTCGCCGCTCGTCTAGTCGACATCGCTAAGACAGCGTGGACGGAAAGTGCTCAGACAAAGGTATCGCGCTACGTCTCAGCGACCCTCATAATACTGGCTTTAGGGTCCATGGGATAAAGATACGTCTTAAGACATACGGAGCAGTTCATCGTGCATCGTGAGATTTCTGGGTAGAAAGAACGTAGTCCTGTCCAAAACGGGTCGTTGCTGCAGTTTAGGCTGTTCAGAAGGCAGGAAGACGTATTAGCGGAAAGGTGCGCTGGACCCGCTGTCAATAAAAGGCAGTCGCGACAGCACGTGATACATATTTACACCAGTCATTGGTCGCTTCGTGATTAATTTGCATATTTTACTCTCCAAACGTTATGACATCCGTCACAGCTTGTCCTCATCAAACGGCCCGTCCTCCTCGACCCGCTGCCAAATGTCATTCAACACACTCGCGTTCCGCTCGATAAATTGGCCGTAGCCTTTGCGTCCGACAATGCCCTCGCCGTCGCGGTCCCACACAACCTTACCGCGCAGCACCGTATACCGCGGCCAGTTCGTCACGCGCTTGCCCTCGTACGGCGTGTAGTCGACGTCGTGGTGCAGCATGCTGTTGGTGACGACGAGGTTGTCGAGGCCCGCGGGGCGCTTGGGCGAGCCGACGTTGGGGTACCACACGACCAGGTCCGCATCGGAAAGGCCGGGCATGATGGCGCCCTTTTTCGGGTAGAGGCCGTACAGCTTGGCGGCGTTGGTCGCGGTGACCTCGACGAACTTGGTCAGCGGCAGCTTGTCGCGGCGGTCGGTCGCCGAAAATGTGAGGGGAAGTCGTGTCTCGACACCGGGCAAGCCGTTGGGGATGTGGCGGAAACGGCCGACGGGGAACTCGTCCGAGATGCACGTCTTCTTGCCGGTGACGTCGTCGTCATAGTTGAAGGGGCAGTGGTCGGAGCTGAGAACAGAGAACGTGCCGTTGCGCAGACCCGTCCAGATCACGGCCTGGGCGGCAGCGTCGCGCGGCGGCGGCGAGCAGACGTGCTTGGCCGCCTCGAAGCCGTGCGGCGCGTCCAAATGCTCCTCGCGCGTCAAGAACAGATACTGCGGGCAAGTCTCGGCAAAGACAGGCTGGCCACGTGTCTGGGCCTGGCGGATGCGCTTGGTGGCGCCCGTGTCGCTGATGTGCACGAGCAGGATCGGCGTCTGGGCGACAATGCTGGCGAGCGCAATGGCGCGATTGGTGGCCTCATCTTCCAGCAGCTGCGGCCGCGAGTGGGCGTGGTAGCGGGGGGCAACCAGGCCGCGCTTCTCGAGACGCTCCGTCAGCCACGTGAGCACATCGCCGTTCTCGGCGTGGATCATGGTCAGCACCTTGTTGGCGCGCGCCTCGGCCAGCACCGACAAAATCTCGTTGTCGCGCAGCTGCAGGGCCTCATAGGTCATGTAGATCTTGAGCGATGTGACGCCGCGCGAGGGCAAGGATGCGATCTCCGACAGCGCCTGGTCGCTTGCGTTGCCAACGAGCAGATGGAAGCTGTAGTCGCTGTAGCAGTTGTTGCGGGCGAGCGAATGGGCGGCTTCGAGGGCTGCCAGCAGCGAGGGTTCCGTTCGCTGCTGCGGCGCAAAGGCCACGACCGTCGTTGTGCCGCCGGCAATGGCTGACCGCGTGCCCGACTCGAACGAGTCGGCCGACGAGCCCTTGCCGAACATGCTCGGTTCCTGCAGATGCACATGGCAGTCGACACCGCCCGGCATGACGTAGCCGCCCTCGGTGTCAATCAGCCGCTTTGTTGGCGCCGTTGCCAGAGTTCCAGACGGCGCCAGCACTGCAATCTTCTCACCTCGAATGCCAATATCGTAGGCGGCGATATCGGACGCCGTCACGCACACGCCATTCGTGATAACCAGGTCGTATTCTATACTGTCTGCCATTATGAATCATGAATTGTGCGGAATTCGCTTTAAATTTCGAGGAAATGTCGCGAGATCGATGTTGTTGAATGAAAACTGCCTCGAAATTTGGCTCTACAAGAGCAACAGGACGCGCAAAGCCTTTTAACACGCCAGTCTCAAGTTTGACAGCTCGGGGCTCGTTGGCGCGGTCCTCTTGCATGAATCCCAAAGAGGAGATATCACGATAAGCTCGGCGCAGACCCGACATATCGGCGCCTTCCACCACTCCACTTTCCTACTGCGGTGATGTTTTTGTTTAGGGGGGGCTTTTGGGAAAGCCCTCTTTAGCGATTTCTAACGGTTTTCAGGGCGGCTACCAGGGGTAATGTTGGTGCTATGGTACTATTTGCGCGCCAAACGTCGGGTCTTCCGATAAGGCCTTATCCATCCGCGTGTCAGTGTCTGTTATCGGGCCAGGCCGACAGAGAGCAGTTCGGCGCGCCGTTCTTCAACCGTCGTTCTTTATTAGCTTAATGTTTCCAAAATAGTTCTTTTCCATCTATGACCACGGTTCTCTTCACGACGTCGGCTGTGCTTTCTGGATATTCATCCTTCTAGTTTTCTTTGTTGTCCTTTTCTCTTTTATTCATTTTAAAATGTTAACAAAACAAAAGAAAAAATAACCTCTGTCATGCCAACATGAACAAACGAAGGTTTTTCGATCAAAGGCGTGCTCCAGGGAGAACAGGGACATGGGACATTTATTATGTTCATAGAAGCGAACAAACAAAACAATAAAAAACGTTTTAGTTTGAACAACAGTGCCTTGTTCATTCATAAAGAGAGCGCTGTTCGTCTATGTACGATTCTTTGTTCAAGATACTGTTCGCTGAACAAAAGGGTAGTTCCCATAAGTTTCCCGACGTTGACAAGAAAACACATAAAATGCCCTCATTCCTTTGCCTCTTTTGAAAAAATATCATCTTTTCTCTCCAGTCACACTTCGATCTTCACTCCACACTTGGCCAACACACCTGTACAAGACATTTTCCTGAGATTCCAACGCAAGATTTCAAACAGAGCTTTTTCTCGCAGTCTTCTTCCGTTCCCATTGATTTTCTTCCGTCAACAAACTATCCTTTTCGAGAAATCAATCCAAACTCGTCTCTGAAAATGTCTTCCACCGGTGAGATGTCCTCTTTCCCTTCTTCCTCTTTCGTATCCACCTCCATGTCCACCCGCGCCGCCTCCTTCCTCTCTGCCGATGTTATGTTCCAAAACAATCTGTCTCCCGACGCCTTCCTGGCTCGCACGGATGGCCGGGGCTATACGTCTGCCGAGACCGAGATCTGGGACACGGCGCACCGCCTTTATGTCTACCTGGCTACGTGCCAGCGGGCGCCCAAGCCAGAGCGTCTTCGGTTCTTCCGTCTTCTGGTTCGACTCTGCATCCGTCATCGTTCCATGCTCCTTAAAGGGGTATCTTTACAGGCTGAGGATAAAGGCATGGCCTCCATTGAGGCCTGTGCCGTCTGTTACCGCCGAAAGTACTCGGAGGAGAAGGAGCTACAGTCCGAGCGGACGACTGGCCACTGCTGTTGGTTCCGTCCCGATAGCCGCGCACGGGGTTTCCTCGATCTGGTGCGTTCACTCTGCGACGACCACCCGGAGCTTTTTGGTGATGACGTGAGTCTGGAGGAGCTTGCCGGTCTGTTTGTTTTTGAATAAGCTGTTTGTTTGTTTGCTGCTTTCGTTTGCTTTGCTTTCGCTTTTGCACGATTCAATCTTGACGGTGAAGTCCATTGATAAGTCTGGCTCAACTTTTTTTTTTTCGATACTTTATATCAACAATAAAAATATAAAATTACCCCAAAATAACAAATGTACAAGCAGTCTATTGCTCTCGTGATATAACTGGTATTAAAGAATTCATGCAAGCGACCCGTAGAAAATAAAGTAATCCGTCATCTGAACCCGTATTCTCTACAAGACCTGGTCAACAGATGCAATGACAAAGTCGACACAGCTCTCATATGTCTGCTTCGCATTCGTGCCGAACCAGAACCACTGCAGCACACAATCGCCCGCCACAAGGCAGGCGTCTTCGGCAATGTCGGCCGGAATCGTGACGCTAAAGGCCGTGTTGTTGGGCGGCAGAGCGGGCAGGCTCTCGTCGGCGTAGCTGTCAAACACAATCAGGTTGGCACCCGTTGCCAGAATGCTGTTGTTGGCCGTTGACACAATCGACACGTTCATGGGTCCTTCGTGCGCGATGGGGATTTGTGCCGTCATGTTGACGAGCTGGCCCGGCTGGAACGTCTGGAGGCGGTCCGTGTTGTCTGCAAAAACAGCGCCGCGACAGAGGTCAAGTTGGCCTGAAGGCTCCATATTAGCGTTGGTCGACCAAAGAGACAAACAAACAGGTCGGTCGTGTCTTCACCCCCGGTACGTACATCCTGCAGCTGGCGAGAGGACATCCTCAAGTGGAATGGTGCCATCTTTCAGGACAGCATCGACAGCCGTCTGGCCGCACGCCGCAACCATGCCCGGTCCGGTGAGGCGCGCTGGAGGGGACGTGATGTTGCCATGCGCCGCAGCAGAGGCGGCAAAGAGAGAGACGACCGCCGCAGCGGTAGAGGCCATGGACGTCTTCATTGTGGATTGTGTTGGTTTGTTGGAAGAATCGGCAGAACTAGAGGAAATTTATGAAGAGTGACCGGCACTGTAAAGAATGGTTGAATATTGAGTCGATATTGCAAACTCAAAGGCACAAGGTATATAGAAAGGAGAGACTACTGGATTGATAAAAGGAATGGAAATAGTGTCTTGGTACCTGAATGAGCTTGAGACCTGTTCGCACAAGCAACAGCGACAAACCAGGTGTGGGATGAGGGAAGAGGGTCTTTTATGTCACTGCGAATCCGTCTACAGGCACACCGAGACATGTGCTTGATTCGCAGCAATAATGACGAAAAGACAGGGGTGTTTTAGAGTTGAGGAACGGAATTGATAAGAACTGGTGATCCTCTTCGGGATCCGGGAAGGGTCAACAACGCCGAGATAGGCAAGCTGAGTATGGCAAGTCTAATAAGTGGCGGGTTATGATTGTGATATTGAAAGTATGAAGACGACGCACGGGAGCCATCACTGGAACCCAAATCATCGTGGACCGCTTGTTGGCAGAAGGAATACAACAAAGGCATGAATACTATTTCGCCGCACGGAATCAATGGACCTGTCCTTTTTCCTTCAATTCCAATGTTTGATTGATTATCTTGCTTTTCTTTACCTTACCCGCGATATCTCGGCAGTGGCTGTTGCCACATTTTGAGTTTCAAGCCTCGTGCGATCGACAAAAGTGATGTTTTTGCCTATTTACGACACGACGGACAACAATCGGACTCAATACACAAGTCAAGCGCCTTTTTTGAAAGAATAAAAAAAATAGAAGGGCGGGCGATGGGAGGGAAACGTACTCCATGACACATAAATGCTCTTGATACCGGGACTCCTGTCATCTCGGAGAAAATAAAGATGCTAAGAGCGACCAGCTCAACCAGATCATAACAGATGAGATGAAACGCGCAAGTAATTGAACCAAAAAAAGTCAAATGGAATAATCTACGAAGTCGATCCTGGCACTTTTCAATTTGCCATCGGATTTGTCAAACATTGCACCGAAATGTGCTGGTCCTACGTCGTGTACAGTCTCCTCTGAACGTGCCGACGCAATCTCCACCGTCAAATGTAAACAAGTGTCGAAAACCCTCAGTAGCTGCTGCCTTCATTTTTCGAGTTTCCAGTCTCCCATTGCGCATATCTGCACGCTTTACCTTGTATAGGGTCGTGTAATTCCTCCTGATGGTATCCGCAAACAGTTAAAATGCTGGCACCTGCCCATTACAGCTCATCGTTGGCCTTCTTCCGGTATTCCCCGGCCTTCTCTTGGGCATAGCTGGAACCAAGCTGGATTTGAGCCTTGATCCAGTCAACCGAGTTCCAGAAGCTCTCAGATGCCTTGGCGAACAGCGTGCTCGTAGGCGTGGTCGTGCCGTACCGGAAGTAGGTGGCCTGCTGGCGGGCGAATGCGCGGAGCTCGTTGACGGTGCTGCCCTGAGGAACAGGCTGTAAACTTGGTTAGCAATAATTTTTTGCAAAAAAATAGAAGAAAAAAAAGAAGAAAAAAAAGAAGAAAAAAAGAAGAAAAAAAGAAGAAAAAAAAGAAGAAAAAAAGAAGAAAAAAAGAAGAAAAAAAAGAAGAAAAAAAGAAGAAAAAAAGAGAAAAAAAGGAATGGTGATCCTGAACGGGGTAATACGCACAATGCCGTAGCTGTCAAGGTACGCCTTGATTTCACTCTCGCTCCACGTATCAAAGACGCCGTTCTTAGCAGTCTCGGTTGCCTTGGCCAAGTAGTTGGTCGCTGTAGCATACTTGTCGCCGCCGGCCTTGGATGCAGCGTTGTAGTAAGACTTGGCCGCCTTGAGCAGCTCCCCACGGGCAGCGTCCGACTTCTCGGCGACCTTCTTGGCAGCATCGTCGCCAGTGGAGACTAGGTAATTACGGAGGTTGTCGTACGAAAGGTCGTCAAACGTCCAGGCACTCCAGCCAGAAGCAGCCTTGTGCGCGTTCTTCCGGACAAGAGCACGAAGCTGGTCAGAGTTCGACTTGTGGGGAACGGGCACACCTCGGGCATCGAGGAACGCCTTGAGGCGACTATCCGACCAGCTGTCGACGCTATTGGAGAATGCGGCCCGTGCTGCTTCAGAGACGGCATCCGTGGCCTTGGCGAACTCGTTACCAGCCCTAGTGGTCGCAGCGCCGAAGCGAGCGGCAACGGTGTCGTCAAGCGCCTCGGCACGGCGTTTGCGGACAAGAGCACGAATCTCGTCGACCTTGCTACCTTGCGGGACTAGAGGAATGTATGTTAGTACGCACTCTGTAGTAGTTCTACGACTTTGTCGATCTCGTTCTAACATACCACTGATGCCGTTCTTGTCGCAAAACTTCTTGAGCTCAGACTCGCTCCAGCTGTTCAGGAGGGTGTCGGACAAGTTCTCGTAGGCATCCTTAGCGGCCTTCTGCAGGCGCGCAGACTCGTCCTGCATCTGAAGATAGGCCAGATGAGAGTTACGGCGAACCGTAGAAATCAGCTTGTCGCGCTGCGGGTGGTATTGTCAGATATTATGTATTATGACACCGAAGAGCATGCAAGATTTCGTTAATACTTACAGTAGAGGGCTGCGGAGCAGGGTAGCCGTAGGTGTCAAGCCAGTTCTTTAGATCCGACTCTGGAATGTAGTGTCAGTAAGCATTCGCTTTCGCATCGAAAAGTATCCAAAACAAGAGTGCCGGGTGCTATACCAGTCCAAGTGTCGTAAAGCCAGTTTCCGGGGTAGCCAAAGGTCTGGTGCGACTTCTGGGCAATCGAGTCCAGGTTCTGGCGAGCGTTTCTGAGAAGCACGTCGCGCTCACGAGGCTGGGGAACTATAGTTGCGTTAGTATGTATTGGATGAAAGAGCTCTGTACAGGCTGGGGACATACCAGGGATTTTGTAGTGGTCACAGAAGGACTTGAGCTGGCTGTCACTCCATGAGTCCAGAATCCAGTCCTTTACGTCGACATACGCATTTTGGGCCTTGTCTTCGGTCTCGGTCCAGACCGACTGGACCTGGGAGATGAGCTTGTTCTTGTCCGTCTCGGCGTTATTCTTCGTCTCGATGCCCTTGAGCTTGAGATACGAAGCAAGCTGGTTCGTGTCCCAGCTGCTGTATGGTGTCACGACATAGCTGTTCCAGTTCTTTTGCACGCGATCGGTTAAGTCCTTACGATCTGCCGGCGTTGGGTACGGGATGTTGTGATCCGATAGCCACCGCTCTAGCTCGGTTTCATGCCACTTGTTGTAGGCTTTGGCGACGCGTTAGCATCCAATTTCATATCGGTAGGGTCTGGGTCGCAGCGGCGCGCTTCTATTCAACACCAATTGAGAGGCACAAAACTTACCAGCACGATACAGCCAGCTGTCGGCCGCGATCGCGACGTCCGCCACAATGGCAAGAGGGAGAAGTGCCTTGAGGAGTCTCATCGCTGTCCGGTGGGGAGCCTCAAATGTGTTGTGTTGGTGATGTGGTAAGGAATATGATGAAAATGAAAGGCTTTAAATGTTTGTAGAAAGTATGTTTCTGTAATTTTACCATCTATCGAGAGGAAAACGATGAAGGGACGCGTTCGGGGAAGGGAGGGATGAGGAAGGGGGCAAGGGCAGTTTTATTGAGGGGTCTCAAGTGACGATGACTGGCATCTCTCAAACTGGAGGGCTAGAATCAATCACGTCACACAGAGGGAAGGTGCATTTGGTGCTCTGGCTCTTGGCCTGGACGACCTCCCTTTGTTGTTTGTATCATCAACCCAATTTTCAATGACGTGGTACTTCTCCCCGACTGTCTCGGGCGCTGACTGGACTGCTGTGATGGATAAAAACTGGTCAGACTAGGTAGGAGCTGCCAGTAACTGGGGAAAGAGCTGCATCGCACCTTCCTATAAGCACCAGTGAGAATCGTCGATTTGCGCACCGATTGGGGCGATCGAGAGGAGCTTGGTTGTGCTTGCTGTTTTGGGTACCACATGACGTCACCTACATACTTTCCACTGCTATTTCGCAGGAGGGGCCGAAATACACTGCAATTAGCTCCCTTGCGCGTCATGAAATTGCTTGTGATAGCTAAAGGTAAAAACAAAGATTCTCAACATCTTGCTTAATTAACAGTACTCCACGTCGTCGTGTTGTTATGATCGATGTTCGTCATAAGCAGATGCGGCAAGTGCGTGTCGTGCAATTGTTGTGATAGTACGGCACAGACAAATATGCACGTGACAAGTCACATGATATTAATACGAATTTACTACGCAACGGAGCACCGTGATCGAATTACGATTATATCAAGGGGCATTCTTCATCGGACAAATGTCGACTGGGTGGAAAAGTCATGGATAAGAATAATGAAGTGATAGCGTACCTGAAATCATACGATTTTCGCATCATTTGTAGTGAATTAATATGTAGTAGATTTTCGCTGGCGATGTCGTTTGCCGCTGGCACAAGGTCCGGCCATATTTGACAGCCGATTCCCCTGGCCAATAGGCCCACAATTTTGGCTTCTCGTTTCTGCCTCGCGCTAAAATTTCAACCCTCGAGGACAGCCTGAGCCTCTTAGCAGCTTCCTTATTTTCGAGGCCCAGCCTCTAGATCTTCAGCCTGCTTGTGACTCTTGCGGCGAAGACCAGGAAAGAGCGATTGGCCTCAGCACAAAGCAACACAAAGCTTCAAAGAGAAGGAACGCGGCTGTGTGATTGGCTGCTGCCTCAGGAATAAGAGCCAGGATCCTCCTCTTTACCGCTTGACTCAGAGAAGGCGATTCCGCCAAAGCTTTACCTACGAATCGTCCATTACTGCGAGGCTAATCGCAGATTTGACCAAGTCGGGGTATTGAGGCCAACAGGTCCAGGGGCGCAGCCTTGTCCCACATGAGCGGCGTTTGACCAGTGCTCACGGCCAATAGAGAGAGCTTCTACATGCATTTGAGTCGCTGTACAAACGTTGTTGCTGGACTTAAAAGAAGTGACTTTGTTGCTTCTCGTCGTCTGCTACATTCTTTCAAATCATTTACGGCAAGCAACACAGTTGGAAGCGCCGCTTCGGATTGTCTTTACTCTTTCTCGGTCTTTTCTGCGTACCCCGCGAGCTCTTTATTACCGCCGTGTGTACTACGACGGCTCTTTCACACATCAGCCTCACCACTACTCGAGAAGATCAAAGGGACAACACACACCGGCTCACATATCAGCATGGACAGCACACACATCGAGACTGCCGCCGCCGGTATGGCCGCAGCATCTCCGGTACTGCCCAAGGCACCATACAAGGACCAGGACGTTCAGGAGGTCGCAGAGATCATCCGCATTTTGGACGAGGCAGTCAAGCAGAAAAAGCGCTCTGCTTTTACCATCAAGAAAACGCGTTTTACCGTCAGCAACTCCGAAGATGGATACTACGTCGACTCATGGAAGATGAACGACTGGGACTACAAGCGGCGCGACCTGCCGACATATGCACGTGGCCTATTCACGACCAAGAACAAGCACGGCCAGCCGTCTATTGCCATCCGCGGCTACGATAAGTTCTTCAATATCAACGAGGTCCACGAGACTCGGTGGGAAAACATTGAGGAGCGCACACAGGGGCCCTATGAGATCACACTCAAGGAGAACGGTTGTATCATCTTCGTGTCTGGCCTTGCCGATGACACTTTGCTGGTGTGCAGCAAGCACTCCACCGGCGACCGCGGCGACGTCGAGCTGAGTCACTCCAGCGCTGGCGAGGCGCGTATTCAGATCCAGCTGGAACGGTTGGGCAAGACGAAGCAGGACCTGGCACGAGAGCTGTACACACGGAACGTCACCGCCGTGGCCGAGCTCTGCGATGACTCTTTCGAGGAGCACATTCTCGCCTACGGCCCCGACAAGGCCGGCCTCTACCTGCACGGCATCAACCTCAACCTGCCAGAGTTCCGGACATATCCTAGCATCTTGGTGCAGGATTTCGCGGAAAATTGGGGTTTCATCAAGACAGATCTCAAGGTAATTGATACTATATCCGAAGTGCGGACGTTTCTCGAGTCTGTAGCCGAGACGGGTTCGCACGATGGGCGCGACGTCGAAGGTTTCGTGATCCGGTGCCGCATGTCCCCAAAGCCGGAGTCCATGCCGTACCAGGATTGGTTCTTCAAGTACAAGTTCGAGGAGCCGTACCTCATGTACCGCCAGTGGCGCGAATGTACCAAGGCGCTGATCATGGGACGGACGCCGAGCTACAAGAAGCACCAGGCCATCACCCAGGAATACCTCATGTACGCGCGCAAGCGGATTGCAGCAGACCCGAAGCTGGGCCGGCAGTACAACAAGAACCACGGCATCATCCAGCTGCGCGAAGATTTCTTGGCGTTCAAGCACCTGAACGGCACCGACGCTGCCAACTTTGAGGAGGTCTACGGCGGCGGTAGCAAAACCGAGGTGACCAAGGACGTGATTCTCGTACCCATCGCCACGATTGGCTGCGGAAAGACGACGCTGGCCATTGCGCTGGGTCATCTGTTTGGCTACGGTCACATCCAGAACGACAACATTACGGGCACGAAGCGGCCGCCACGGTTTACGCGAATGGTGCTGGACGAGCTTCAGACCCACCCGGCGGTTGTCGCGGACCGCAACAACGCACAGAAGCATGAGCGGAAGCAGATTCTCCACGACGTTAAGCACATGCATTTGTCTGCGACTATGGTTGCGCTCAATTTTGTTCACGACGATGTGGATGCAATCCGTGCCATTACGCACGAACGTGTGTTTGCGCGCGGCGACAACCACCAGACGATCCACGCCGCGACCGACGCCAACAAGGTGGTCGGCATCATGGAGGGTTTCATTCAGCGGTTTGAGCCGCTGGACCTCTCTCGTGCGCCGGATGAGGGCTTTGATGCAGTGATTGACCTGTCCCCGACAGCAGGCAGTCGTGCGAACCTGGAGACGGTGGTTCGCCAGTTGCACAACCTGTATCCGAACCTGGTCAAGGAGGTGCCGTCTGCCGAGGCGATGGACGAGGCGATTGCGGCCGCGATTGGCAACTACAATCCTACGCTGCGCCACGAGATTGTCGACCGTGGCAAGAACAAAGGCCCTTCCCAGACGCCGAAGCAGAACCAGCCACCGAAGGCCGTCGTGAAGAAGAAGCCGCTGGAGTACATGGCCGTGCACGTCGCGGGCAAGGATGTTAACGCGCATCTCGAAAGCACCTTCAAGAACCAGCCGGCCGATGCCTCTCGCTTCTACAAGCAGCTCAAGCAGACACGCCGCGTGCAGCCCAGCTTCCATGTGACGCTGATGCACCGTGCTAGCGCCAAGGAGCGCCCGGAGCTGTGGGACCGGTACCAGAAGCTGCATGCGGATGCTGATGCGGCGGCCGAGGCTGCAGCAGCAGCGGGTGGCCCGACGTACATTGTGAACGACACACCGCCCGAGGTGGGTGAGGTGGACGTGCAGCTGGAGCGCGTGGTGTTTGATAACCGGCTGATGGCATTTGTGGTACGGTTGGTGAGCAAAGAGGCCGCGGCCGGCGGCGAGGGTGCAGAGGACAACTGGACGTGCATCAACAAGGTATTTCACATCACAGTGGGGACTCGCGACGACAGCGTCAAGCCAAAGGAGAGCAACGACCTGCTGGCCCGCTGGTTAGAGCAGGGCAGCACGGAGACGAACGGCATTACGGACATTGTGATTGAGGGGCAGCCCCTGCTTCACGGTGTTGTGCGTGGCGTTTTGTCCCGTTAAAGCCGTGCGGATGTAGCGTTGTGTATTTGATTTGTATTCCGCAACCACCTTCATAGCGATGCAGGTCACTTCGTTCAGTTTAAAGGAACATTGTATGGCTGGGAACTAGAGCAGCGTTACTAAAAGCTCCATTTTCATTGATTTACATTTGATATATGTGCATATTCCTCAAGGCAAAGGGTCGCATTCTTCAGTATACTATACTGACGACGAGGGCTTGATCTGGTTTGTTGCCTCCACGAACAGCTTCCACTGCCGCCGTGCCTCGCCACTGCTGACGGCCAACCGTGCCAGCCGCACACCCTCCTTCCAGCACAGACCGCCAGGGCCCCGCTCTGTGACGACCTCAGGGTCCTCGGGCAGCGCTGAGCTGTCGGCAGGCTCCGCCAGGCCGGCCACCACCATGAGCGCCGCCGTATTGATGAGAACAAACGCCAACAGCGGATCGTCGGCCGGGCGCTGGTTCTGCAGGATGCTCGTCATCGTAGCGGCGTTCTCGGCGGGCGATTTTCCGGGTGACACGTCGCTGAGCGGGCAGGCGGCCACGCCAAAATCGGCAGGCGTCAGCTGGAAGTGGTCGATGACGACGTCGCTGCCGGTGGTGTCCTCGTGCAGGTACCAGCAGAACGTGGGGCCGGCAATGGAGATCTCGTCGAGCTCCTCGGCACCGCAGACGACCATGGCCTTGCGCGCGCCGGTCATGCGCAGTGCCTCGGCAAAGACGGGGCCCAGCTCGCGGCGGGCGACGCCAATGATGCGGGTCTCGAGCGGGGACTCGCTCTCGGGGGTGTCGCGGACGTCGACGGGGCTCGCCAGGGGGCCCAGCAGGTTGAACAGCGTGCGCCAGGGCAGCTGTTTGCGGATGGGCGCGACGTAGCGCATGCCCGGGTGGAAGACGGGTGCGAACAGGAATGCGTAGTTGGTGGTGGCGTAGATGGAGGGCAGAGTGGCGGGCTCGATATAGTTGAGGTTGGCGACCAGATCCGTCGACTCGTTCTCAATGTCGCCCGGGTGCTTGAGGTTGGCCAGCAGGTCGGCCGACCCGGACTTGCTCGTCGACGCGCGGTTGCCGTGCTTGGCCATGCGCAAGTAGGCCGAGGCGACAATGGACGACGCTGTCGAGACGTTGAAGGTGTTGTGTGAGTCACCACCGGTGCCGACAATGTCGCACAGACCGCCGTTGTACTTGCCACGCTTCAGCGACTTCTCGGCAGCGATCTTGAGCAGCGGCGCCGGGTCGACGCGGGCAGCGGCTTTTCGCATGCGATCGGCGCAAGCAGCCATGACGTCGGCCTGACGGTCGAGCCCCGTAAAGTGCAGGCACATCAACAGGGAGCCGGCCTGCACGTCCGAGACACGGTTCGTGAAGAAGAGGGCCACGGCATCGGCAATGTCTTCAGCCAGCGGCGTTCCAGCTTCCGGAAGGGGCCAGAGCCGGCCGAGGATCGGCTTGATATCGATGATGTCGTCTGCAGCATCCGCTGAGCCAGCTTGTTGTGAGGCCATACCGGCGGTGTGGAAGTCGTGTGTATGATGCTGTATGCAAGGTACAAATTGGCTAACGAACCTGTCTGAGTCAATGGTCCGTGGTGGTGGAGAAAGTTGCAAACGTCAATCACAGACTTCGTTGTGTCCAGCTGCCAAACCCGTCCAAATCGCTGCTGTCCCTTTTATGCAGTATTATAGCGGCCTATTTGCAGTGGTTTCTAGCGTCCGTTTTCGGCCTTTAACAGCAGTGTCGCTCCGTCTCTTGGCAGACACAGCGCAACGGGAAAGAAGGGGAATATTACGAAGTCGTATTGAGAAAAAAAAAACTAAGATAGAGTACGACGACAGAATCCGGAATACAAAGAGCCCTTGGCTCGTTGTGTTGTTTCGAATAGCTGATGCGACCCCAAATCTTCAGGAGGGCCGAATTGGGGACCAATAGGTACCAAAACGTGGGGGTACGAATTAGGTGTATGGGAGTCATCGGGCGGTGAGGTGCGGCAATTTGACGGTTCCTGGCAAAACTGTATTTGCAGCCAGTAAAGTGGATACTCGCATTGGCCTGTGCTACTGGCTGGAAATCAGATTGAATTTTTAGAGGCAAGCGCATCGAAGAGCTTCATCGCAGCGGAGCATGCGACCATCTGCATCACCAGCCGCCCACGACCGCCGCTAGCTCCGACTGTCCCTCCCTCTCCTTTCAAAATGCCGGCACGGCTCCCTTCTCGCTGGACACACTCGCTCGGGTGGTGTCTGTCCGAAAGCAACGCATCGTCGCCATGCCGAGCCTCGTCCTTTGTCTCTTCTCCTCCTCCCACGGCCTTGAGATTAAGGCTAGCACAGCCTGTTGCCGGCTTCCACACAAGTACGAGCGCACATGCAACCGCTGGTGCCGCGGGCGCGCCCATGGGCATCAAGCTCACTCTGCCCGCCGATTACGTGCCACCCACACAGCCGCCAAGCGCGAAGAAGCCCGACATCCGCAAGTCGCAGCTGCTGAGGTCGTACACGTCGCTTCTGCGCTCGACGCCGCTCATCCTCATGTTCCAGCACAACAACCTGACCGGTGCCGAGTGGTCTGCCCTGCGGCGGGAGCTGAGCTTGGCCCTCCGGATAGTGGCCACGCAGCAGAAGCAGCTGGGCGTCGAGTGGCCCGACTCACTCGCAGACAACATCCGCCTCAATGTCATCGGCACGCGCATTTTCAGCGTGGCTATGCGCATCGCTGAATTCTACGACCCGTCCACCGTCACAGCAGAGACTACGGCGGCCGTTGTCCGCGGCCGCGGCAAGAAGGGCGCCATCTACAACCACGACCTGTCGGACGCCGCCTACGCGTCCATCAAGGCGGCCGAGCAGGATGGCAGGACGGGGCCCGAGTCTTCAGTGTACGGCCAGCTTAAGCCACTGCTTGTCGGCCCCATGGCGCTGCTGACGTTCCCCGACGTGTCACCGGCACACCTCGCGGCTGCCCTGTCGGTCCTGTCGCCCAGCCCGCCCCAGTTCCCCGCCCCGACGCGCAAGAAGAGCCCGGGCTACTACGACCCGCTCGTCCAGAGCGCCGTTCAGAAGCTGCTCCTTGTAGGCGGCCATATCGAGAACCAGGCCTTTGACACGGACGGTGTGCGCTGGGTCGGCTCCATCGAAGGCGGCCGTGCTGGCCTGCAAGCGCAGCTGGTGTCTCTTCTGCAGAGCGCGGGCCTGGGTTTGACAAGTGCGCTGGAAGGCGCCAGCAAGAGCCTGTGGCTAACGATGGAGAGTCGCAAGACACAGCTGGAGGATGGCACCAAGGACGACAAGGAGACATAAGCATCCGGGCGTGCAGTCTCCTCTGCGCCTTATCCCAAAATAATGTATTACTATATATTTTATATCCGGCCATCAATATGGAAAGCGAACCTACTGCAAACGATTCCTGTTGTCAGACAAAAAAGCTGCGTGCCTGTCCGTTGGTGGTTTTCGTGAATGACTATCAAACAGTGCGGCTTGTAATATATACACTGTCAATATACTGTGTCAGCCTACGTCCTTAATACACGCGACGCTTCAGCTCAATTAGTGCAGTTCCCCCCCGTATTTTACATTGCGCTCACTGAAACCGGGGGATGTAATTACGACGTATTACTCTTTGTACAGTCCCTTCAAGAGCTTGATTCTCGTGCACATCAACCGCGTCTCTCCGCACAGCTTCGTCATCGCACGTCCCACTTCAGGCACCCAGGAATTGAGGAGGAATATCAAGTACGAGCCAGCTCTCGATACCCAGCACAACTGGCAGACCGGTACTTTCATTGTCCTGCAAGAACCGTCTTTCAAAGCACATTACCCACAGCGCGTTGCGCACGCGGCTCGTTTTCGATCTCGTTTTTCGACCACCGAACTTGATTCTATTCCATCCTGCGCCATCCGTCCATCCGTCTGTCTGTCCGTCCGTCTGCCAACCATGGATTTCGCGCCCTACCAGTCCTCGCCGCCTGAGCACGAGCGCGTCATGTCGCCGCCGGCCGGCAACAGTGCGACGTCGCCGCGTGCCTCGCTCGAGCGGCGCTCGTTCTCCCCCAACAAGCCCACGACCTCCAACGCTGCCAGCCCGCCACCCCTGCAGCATCCCCAGCCACAACGCCGGTGGTCCAACAGCATCCCGAGCCCGAGCTACTTTTCCTATCAGCAGGGTGGCCACGCCAACAATGACCTCGAGGGCGGCGGTGGCGGCGGTTTCGGCGGTTCTCCCGATCCGATCTACGACAATGGCCGCGACGGCGTGATCAACGAGTTCGACACGAGCCTGGGCCTTCGGCTGGACTACGAGGCGTGCATGGCATACCTGCTACTGCCACCACTCGGCTCGATCCTTCTTTTGGTTCTGGAGCGCAAGAGCGACTATGTTCGGTAGGTCTTGCGGCCGCGCGGCGACGACTTGTACATCATCATGCAAACACTGACACATTTGTCTCCTTTGCAGCTTCCATGCATGGCAGGCCAGCCTGACGTTCACCCTTACGATCATCCTGCATCTGATCCTCCACCGCTCGTCGTTCCTCAGCTGGGTCCTGTTCCTCGCCGACCTTGGCCTGATCGGCTGGCTGACGCTCAATGCGTACCGTGATGCCGACACGCTCGACAGGTACTGATCCGCCCCCGATATATGGCTTCTGTGTTGTATCTCCTAAGCTCTGCTGACCCTGTCCTTGCAGATACGAAATCCCTTTCATTGGACCGATTGCGAGCAGAATCGTCGACGACGAGTAACCAACCCAGACTATCCCGACTGCTCCTGCACTGTCTTTTTCTTTGCAGAGCTCACTGTTGATACATACCCCTTTGCGCTTCCTACGATACGTCCTTCATACTTATTTTCTCGTCCCCCTTCTGCCGTTTCCCGTTGCAATTTCATTTTTTGTTCGCGCATTGCCCTCTAGCTTTGCTTTTCCTCCGTATCCTTTTGCTTTCAAGGCCCGGCGTTAAAGGTCGCATAACTTTTCTTGGCTGTCGCCCGTTTCGCGACTGTCTTTTCTTCTATACATCAATCGATGCTCGCAATTCATATCAAACACAGTCGTGATGTAACCATTAGCGAAGATCAGAATGTGTAATAAATCATATCACGTGACTGAAATTTTGTTATTGCATTGCTTTGTCATTTTAGCGGCAACGCCACACCGGGTCCGGGTGACGCGCGCTACGGCGCCTGCCTGTGCCTGCATTTACGTTCGCAGCTTGCCCAAGGCCAGACCCCAGCCTAGACAAGGTGGAAGCTTCCCGTAGCCGCTCAGCAGCCAATTCTCATTGTCTCCCATCCAGCCTTCTGCGCATTCACACCCACGATCTCGAAATCGATCAACCAGCATCTCGATTTTCGACGACACTCACCACAACATCCAATCCCTAACGGTTTCCTTTCGATCGAGCGCTGATTGCTCTCATCCTCATCCTCACCTTCACTCTCTTTTTCCGCCTCTCCCCCTCCCTTCCCACAACCTCTTCTCCCACAACCGCCTACCATGTCCACACTCGAAGAGCTCGACGACATCGAGCGCCACGAGCGCGAAGACAAGGACGAGAAGAAGGACGGCGGCGACGACCAGTCCGGCAAGGACGGCAAGGATGGCGCCGGCAACGGTGGCAACAAGGGTGCGGCCAAGGCCGATGGCGACGCCGAGATGGAGGACGCCGAGCCTGAGGAGGACAATGTGATCGACGAGGAGATTCTGAGTTTAAGCACGCAAGAAATCGTCACGCGCCGGAGGCTGCTGGAGAACGAGTCGCGGATCATGCGGAGCGAGTTCCAGCGGTTGGCGCACGAGAAGGCGACAATGGTCGAGAAGATCAAGGACAACCAGGAGAAGATTGCTAACAACAGGTAGGTCCCGCCTGTTGCTCTTCGTCCCTATTGTATCGATAAGCTATGCTAACCTCACCCTCTCCTCGTCCCCTGCAGACAACTTCCGTACCTAGTCGGCAACGTTGTGGAACTGCTGGACCTGGACCCGACGGCCGAGTCCTCAGAAGAGGGCGCCAACATCGACCTCGATGCCACACGCGTCGGCAAGTCCGCCGTCATCAAGACCTCGACGCGACAGACGATATTTTTGCCTCTCATTGGCCTTGTCGACCCGGAGACGCTCAAGCCGGGCGACCTGATTGGTGTAAATAAGGACTCGTACCTGATCCTCGACACGCTCCCCGCCGAATACGACAGCCGCGTCAAGGCCATGGAGGTCGACGAGAAGCCGACAGAAAAATACAGCGATGTCGGTGGTCTGGACAAGCAGATCGAGGAGCTGGTGGAGGCCATTGTGTGGCCCATGAAGGAGGCCGAGCGGTTCAAGAAGATTGGCATCAAGGCACCAAAGGGTAGGTTGTTGTCGTGCTTGTTCGCTTGCTCGCTTGTCGCTTGGCATTGGAGAAACGCAGCATTAGATGCTAACAGTCGGAATCGCAGGCGCCCTCATGTACGGTCCTCCTGGTACGGGCAAGACGCTCCTGGCGCGTGCATGCGCTGCCCAGACCGACGCTACCTTCCTAAAGCTGGCCGGCCCGCAGCTGGTGCAGATGTTCATTGGTGATGGTGCCAAGCTCGTGCGCGACTGCTTTGCCCTCGCCAAGGAGAAGGCCCCCGCCATCATCTTCATCGACGAGCTCGATGCCGTCGGCACGAAGCGTTTCGATTCCGAAAAGTCGGGTGATCGTGAGGTGCAGCGGACCATGCTGGAGCTGCTGAATCAGCTCGACGGTTTCGCCTCGGACGACCGCATCAAGGTGCTGGCAGCAACGAACCGCGTGGACGTGCTGGACCCTGCGCTGCTGCGGTCGGGCCGTCTCGACCGCAAGATTGAGTTCCCGCTGCCGAACGAGGAGGCGCGTGCGCAGATTCTCAAGATCCACAGCCGCAAGATGAAGGTCAGCTCGGCCGTCAACTGGGGCGAGCTGGCACGCAGCACGGACGAGTTTGGCGGTGCCATGCTCAAAGCAGTGTGCGTGGAGGCTGGCATGATTGCGCTGCGCATGGGCAAGAACCAGATCAGCCACGAACACTACGTGGATGCCATTGCGGAGGTGCAGGCCAAGAAGAAGGATGTAAGTGTCTTGTCCGCTGCTTTTGACTGCTCTCCCCTTCACCTCGTCCCCGATCACCAGCTAATCATCACCTCTACCTCCAGACCGTCAACTTTTACGCCTAAGTATTGTTTGATTATATCACGACACCTACCTCGACCTCTATTCTCGACTCGTCACGGCTATGGAATCCGACAGCGAAAGAGAAACGTGACAGGGAGGGGTCGCAGATTGGGCAACGTCAGGGTACGACGTTACTGGCGGGTTGTTGGTGTTTTCCTTTATTTTATCGTCTGTACAAGTAGCTATTGCGGCGAACTTATCTCGGGCGCTGGAAGGAGGGTCGTAGACGGGAGGAAAGAAGCCAATGCATCATTTTTTTTGGCCATCATAGCAATTTCGGTCATCGTGCGATTGTGTAGAAAGAATACAATATCGTTAATAAAATGCTTGAAATTGCAAAGCGAGAGGACATCTGGTTAACATGGTGCCAGTTGATATTCCGATTGTAAAACAACATGGGATATCTATATGAATTAACCTCTCCGGGGTACCGGTAAAACCTTGCCAGGCTCCGCTATGTCTTTAAATGAAGTAACGCCGAAAGTGGTAAAACTTCCGAAAGGAGAAGAAGAAAGCAATGGCAGGAAGGGAGGCTACAGAGCCTTAACCTATATTACTTCGGGCCACCTTCGCCTGCCACACGCACAACCTTACGTGTGCCTGATGCCGTCCTATACACCAGCTCCAAGATCTCGTTACTGCCACTGTCGTCGGCATCAATCTTGTCACCGCTTCCCTCGTCGGCATTGTTGTCGCCGACAGCAATGATATCGGCATCAATGCCGAGCGAAAGGTGACCCATACTCGACCGCACGGACGCCGCGGGGCTGCCTCTTGAATACGGCCGAGCAGCCGAGGAGTCAGGGGCCGGAGACGTCGCGGTGGGTAGTCTCGCTGAAGACGGTGCAACTGCTGGCACCCTGCGCGTTACCATTCTCCGAGGAAACGCAGACGAGCCAGGCCTCTGCAGGAACTGGGTCAGCAGGGTGTTCTCGTCAAAAGCAGTATCCCCGTCATCATCTTCGCCATCGTCCACTTCCAGCGGGTCGGCGGGATCGAAGACCGCTAATGGTACCAAAGTCTGTTTCTGCGGTGGTACGGTCGATGTGTCCGGCACAGCCATGGACGCCGGGCCTTGTAAAGGAGTATTTGATCTGCTCTCTGCGGCCTTGTCCGTCTCTTGCCGTCGCTGTTGCTCCCTTTCCTGCTCCTGGTGGAGCCGCCGAATTTCCTCTTTTGTAGCGGCCGATACATCTTCGAGCCACTCATGCACACGCGCTGCGCCAGAGTAGTCGCCGTCTTGCAAGAGCTTATCGGATATGTCTTCGAGCTCACTAATCACCTTTCCGAGCGTCGTGTCGAGCATCTCAGTGAACGTTGGGGCGAGGACTGACGCTCCGCCCATAGCGCGTAAAGGGGCCACAGGCCGACTGTATATGCCGGGAGTTGTCGTATGCCGTACTGCCAATGCAGCGGCAGCCGCAGCAGCCGCACTCGCAACCGACGAAATTCCGGGTCTGCCTTGCTTGATGGCACGGTGGAAATTGTAACGCCTGGCCACGACATCGCGGTACAGCGTCGCCAAGGTATGCTGTGACTCGCTGTCGTAAAAGGCATAGCCCGTTTTCTTGGAGCGGATGCTGCGCTGTGGTAGTTTGAGGTCCGAGGTAAACTCGGAGCGCCGTCTCTTTCCAACAGGCGGCGATGCTGGCGGAGGCACAACGATCATGCTACGATACCCACCTGCTCCAGTGCTGCTGCTAGGAACAGGGTGCTGCGGAGTAACAGGCCGTTCTAACGGCTCGGAAGGTTCAGCGGCCTTTTGCTGGGGCTCCTCTGCTACTTTGACGACATGAGATGGCGTTTCGACAGGCATGACGATCGGTGTGGCAGCTGGGCTGCAAGTGTTGGATGGTTCTGGCTTCTTAGCAGTTGCCAGCTCGTCTTCTCTGTGCTTGATTTTGACCCAATCAAACACATTGTCATTGGCAGCATGTTGGTCTTCTAGGACCCTGGTGAAGAGGCCCCGCAGGTAGTCGTAATTCGGATCTTGCTCAAATTCCATTCCACGTGTGTGAGCGAGGTATTCAGAGAACTGGGGAGGTAGGCCCCGACAAAGATCGTCGATACTGGTCGCCTGCTTCTTCTCGCACATAATATCGTGGCGGGTATCGTTTTGCGGGGCCTTGACGCCTTGCCATGGCAGGTTTCCACGTGCAAAGTACAGAAAGACGTGACCGAGAGCTTCGAGGTCGTCTCGCCGGGACTGATGGCGTCTGCAGTGAGCATTGATACTCATGTAGCGGGCCGTGCCGGACAGGGACTGCGATTCTCCTGAGGGGATGTGCATGTTCGTGTCCGGCTCGCGGTACACTTTGGCCATGCCGTAGTCGATAAGGTGGACAGAATCTGCTGCATTTGTTCCTGGCAACCCCATCAAAAAGTTCTCTGGCTTAATATCACGGTAGATGAGATCGTGTTCGTGTAATGTTTGTATCCTTGTGATCTATTA